GAACCCGGATCGAACTCGGGCTACCAAAAACCCAACTTTGACTGAATATAATGGGCTTTGTTCGGTCCATAATTTTCATAACACAAGACCGTACGGGTAATTTTCGGTTTTCGCAAAATTCTGATTAGACTGGACCGATCTCATCCCTAATTGTCGCCTTGAATCGACTTCAGCTCGGTTCACTGTAGGTACTTGCAGGTGGGCAAGCTTTACTAATAGAACTCGAGTTCGGCATAATAGGTGTTCGATGCTCGATAAGAGGGCTTGGTGAGCTCTACAAACATGTCCAAATGTAGAATTTTTGTTTATTCCAGTTGATAGACTTAAGTTTGAATTATTCAAAAAGGCATGTTGGCACTAGATAAGTGGTTCTCAACATTTGGTTCTCAGTCTCTTTGAGATGGATTATGTGACGCCCTTAGGCATTGATGTTTTCCTTCAACGTCTCATGGAAAAGTGGAACTATTGAGCATTAATCAAAACAATCATGCTCCTATATCCAAAGTCAAGAACATACGGTGAGTCAGAATTCTCAGTAAAGTTTGTGACATCCTACCCTCTCCATCCTAACCCAAACTTTTGAAAACTGTAGCTAGAGGAGCACATGTTATGGTCGAATATCAATATTTGACCTCTCAAATGATGAGAAAGGGAATGACACAAGTGGAAGCTATCAACTCACAAAGATCACATGGACAAAACATGAACAATATAATAAATTATGAACATAACAACCGTCCTTTTAATTTTTGGGATAGCAACAACGCGGATTCCTTCAAACAATCATTGTTTACCCTATGGCTATCAATAACAATCGTTTCAAGATGGTTATCCTCTCAACTTCCAAGGAGTTCAAGGTTGTTCACAGAACTTTCAAGGTGATTTTTTCAAGGCTTCCAATTTTACTTACAATCAAGAGAATCAAGGTTATCAATCTTACCAAGTTAATCGAGATCTCGAGGACCTTCACACTCTTAACAATGTCCTAACACTGAGGAAATGATTCTCAACTTTGTGGAGGATTAGGAAGTCAAGCTTACCAATTATGAAACCTTCTTTAAGAACCTTAGTATTCAAATTGGGCAAAGTGCCAAGAATAATTCTAAATGTCCAATTCAATAAGGACTCTACCGAGCAACATGGAAAATAATCCTAGAGAACATTGTCAAGTTATTACCATTCAAATTGGGAAGAAAATGAACACCAAAGCTCAGGAAGTCAAGGACCCTAAAGGTGGATGAGAAACAACCAAACCCAACAAGTGAGAAATCTTATACATAAAAAACGAGTGAGGTTCAATAGGTAGGTAGCCACACCAGAAAAGAAGTTGAAGGCTTAACTTAAAATCAAGGAGTGTGCCAATCAAAGGCTATACACTTCCTTTCTGTTTTTTGACCCGATTGACAAGGAAGATTGATGATGATCTATTTGCGATGTTCTTGACCGTCAGTAAGCAATCACATGTCAACACCCCTTTAATAAATCCCTAAGATGCCTTTTTAGATGCCCAAGTAGATGAAGTTTCTAGAAGAAGATTGAAAAAGAGTCAGTTGTTACCCTCAATGTAGAATACTCATCCATGGTCACGAAAGACATATCACAAAAGCTAAATGAGTCTAAGAAACTACTATTTCATATGACCTAATGTAATTTACTTTATTTGAGGAAGTTGAGCTTAACACCTAGAAGTGGTTGGGAGTGAATCAAACTATTTTTTCAATCAAATCTCCTTCCTAGCTTGATCTTAAGCATCTTCCAAGCCACCTCGAGCATTCTTTTATCGAAAATAGTTAGAATCTTTTAGTCATTCTAGCCTCATATTATATGCCTCCTAAAGACCTCTTGTCTTGACTTGATTAGTTTCAAAAAGAAGCTTTATAAGCTTGACCCTTTCTCACATGAAGGGGGTTAATCCTTATTTTAGCACTCATAAAAATTTGTTGGATGAAAATTCCAAAGTAGTTGTACAACCTCGTAGAATACTAAACCCTAACATGTAGGTTATTGTCCGAGAAAAGGTGACCGATTTCCCTACTCTTGATATCATTTACACTATCTTGGGTAGCCTTTGGGTGAGTTCCGCCCAAGTCATCCTTAATAAAGAGGAATGATCGTTGTTAAAATGAGAGAAAAGAATTCAGCACATAGATGGTATATTTGCATTCATTGTCAGATGTTCAATACCGCCACCCATAAAACTTTGGAGATGTTGGCAGGGCCGGATGTATTATTACTTACTTGAAGGAATGTCGAGATATTTCCAAATCTCCAAACAACCAAAAGACCAACAAAATACAACTTTAAAATACAACCGACGTTCGCACCAAGCCTGTCATTGTCATTTGTAGCAAACCTGTCATTGTCATCCGCAGCAAGCCCGTCATCGCCATCCGACTTTTAGATTCACGATGATCATGGTAAAACACTTTGGGCTCGTTTGGTAGTTAGATACACGTTAAATCTTTACACGTGAAATGATTACATGCAAAGTGTAAGAAAATAATCACTTTACATGCAAAATAGATCACATAGTTTGGCTAGATAAGTAATTTAGTTTTAATTATCACGCAAATACATTGTAGTGCTTTATAAAAAGCATGCAAAGTAGTTTACCACTCTCCCCCCACGTAAAATACTTTACATGGTACAGTTCAAAATGTTTTTAAAAGTGCCTTACGGCTTACATTAAATAATCAAACCAAACAATGAAAACATTTTACATCCCTCCACTTCGCATGCAAAGTAATTTTTTTACACCTTACCATTTGTAAACATTTGTAATACTCAGTAGTTTATGTGCTTTTTTCTTTGATTGATTTCTCTTAGATATAAGCCACACAATTCCAACTAGGCATGGACAACGACAAGTCAACTCGACCCGCGACCCGGCCCAGCCCAGTTAGTCGGTATCGGGGTCCAACCCGGAGGATCCCATAGGCGGGCTACAGGATCAAAATGTGGTGGGTCGGGCCCAAATGTGTTTTTTACATTTTTCCTATTGGGCTGGCTGCTAGGGTGGTGGAGTTGGGTGTTTTGGGTGGGTTTGAGCCTTTGAGGGGTGGGGGTGGGAGATTGGAATTAATTCAAAAGGACAAAAAAAAATATGTAAGGCCCAGCTTGGCTCGACCCTTTCCCAGTACAAAACCAGGCTCGACCCTGTCCCGAAGCCCCTTGACCCGATCCAGAGCCCGGCCCGAAACCAGCCCAGTCCACCCCTAATTCCAACGATGAGATTAGATATTTATCAAAACATATTCAACGTATATAACTATATATAAAAATAAAAAGGAATATGCACACATGCAAACATATACACAAATATTTGTATAAAAGAACATCAAGACTAGGGATGGTCCAATTCCGGTCAGCCCGGCCTGGGAACCGACTCGGCCCGGCCCGGCCTGGGAACCAGCCCAGCCTAGCCCACCACTGTACGGGCCCGGCCCGGCCCAGTGAGCCAGGACCGATTCCGAGCGTAGGACGAGCCCGGGGGGTTAGGTCGAGGCGGTTTCGGGCTACCCTTCCTTTGGAACCGACCTGGCCGAGCCAAACCTATTTTTTTTGTTTTTCAATATTTTCCCGATTTAGGCTGGGTGTTTGGGGGGGTTAGGGGTGGGGGGGGGGGGTCAGGGGTTAATTAGAAAAGCAAAAAAAAAAATAGAACCAGCCCGAGACCGGACCAAACCCGGTGGAAACCGGAGCTGGTTCCAGGCCTTCCCCCAAACATAAAAAGCCCACCTAGGAGCTAGTGTTGGACTCGGGCCGGGTCGGGCCCGGGCCGGCGGTCCTATATAGCTGGACCCGGGACCGGCCCGGGTAGCCACCGGGTCCGGTCCGGGTCCGGGCCGGGCCGGGCCGGGCCTCGGGTTTGGTTAATTTTTTTTTTTTTTTTTTGCTTAGCTACCCATCCCTGACCCCACCCCCCAAACCCCTCCTAAACATCAAGCCCAACCCGGTGGAGCCCAAACAAATGAAAAAAACTAAAAATAAAAAATAAATTTGGCCCGAACCGGGCCGGGCCTTGTTATGGGTGACCCGAGCCCGGACCGGAAACCCACCGGGTCGGGCCTACCCGGACCGGTCACTGACCGGGCCACCGGTTCGGGCCGGGCCGGAACAGTGCCGGTCCCGGGCCGGTTCCGGGTCGGGCCACCCGGCCCGAGTCCAACCCTACCTAGGACTCTAGGAGTCTAGGACTAGCCCGGATTCCCGGAAGTACGGAACCAGTCCATGCCTAATCACGACTTCCATGTTGAAACTTGAGACTAGTGTTGGACTCGGGCCGGGCCTAGGCCCAGTCGGGCCGGCGGTCCTATATAGCTGGACCCGGGACTGGCCCGGGTAGCCACCGGGTCCGGTCCGGGTCTGGGCTGGGCCGGGCCTCGGGTTTGGTTAATTTTTTTTTTTTTTTTGCTTAGCTACCCATCCCTGACCCCCCCCCCCCTCACCCCCCACCCCCCTAACCCCTCCTAAACATCAAGCCCAACCCGGTGGAGCCCAAACAAATGAAAAAAAACTAAAAAAAAAAAAAAAATTGGCCCGAACCGGGCCGGGCCTTGTTATGGGTGACCCGAGCCCGGACCAGAAACCCACCGGGTCGGGCCTACCCGGACCGGTCACTGACCGGGCCACTGGTTCGGGCCGGGCCGGAACAGTGCTGGTCCCGGACCGGTTCCGGGTCGGGCCACCCGGCCCGAGTCCAACCCTACTTGAGACATTTAGGTTTTTCTTTAAAGCGGAGGTACAAGCATTTCAAGTTTTCAACACAACCAATATACTTATGTAGTGTTTGCAAAAGATTAAAAAAAATTACGCTGAAATTGGTGTTTTCTAGACTTCTAGAATTAAACACTTCAAAACTAAACATGGAAAGCTGAAATTGGTGATTTCTAAAATTGTTTTTAAACTGATTGATGCACAATAATGAAGTACAAATAAACGTAATTCAAACAAATAACAGTGATATTATAATCATGAAAATTATAAGCATTAACTTTTCTTTGTGGAATAAACACAAATCACTCATTGCCATATGCCCCATCAGAAATTCTTTTTTAATTGAACAAATTTCCCTCGCAATCTTTTTATCATCACCATTCACCAGTTAATCATAAGAATGAGAAAACAATACGCTGAACTGAACCACACTCACAGCTCCTATCACTTTATGCTAATTTGTAATTTTTGTCGAGCAATGACCACTTTTACAATTAGAAAAATACAATCATCTAATCCTACAAAACTTGTGATACAATATATCCTTCCACCGACTCATCATACAATTTTACAGGAATAGAAGATGATCATCTTCAAACATCACTATGATGATGTGAGCTGCCACCGATGATGATAAACTTAACATCTTTCAATGATGATAAAACAGCGCCTCAATTACTCTCAACATAATCCCTGGCTTTTTGCTTCACGGATTCAATCCCTTCTATGTCACCAAGACTCTTCTTGTACTCGAGATACTTCTTGAACAGGAACTACAGGATAAAGGGTTAGATCCTCTTTGGTGTCACTTGTGCTATAAGTGCTTTTAGAAAAAGTGTTTACTCATTTAATTTAAGAACTAAAGCGCTTAAAAAATAAAAGAACTTCGCAAATATGGCACTTTATCAAAAAAGCAAAATGTGGCTTTTAGAATTAAAAGCGTTTTTACTTTCCTTGCCAAACACTTTTTTTGAAGCGAAAGTTATTCACAAACGAAAAACCAAAGTGGACGATGTACCAGTACTGCAGGCCCAATATAATGGTTAGTGCCATTTTGAGATGACTTATACAAAGTACTATTATTGCTTTTCTATGACGTTTTCTCATTTAAACACTAAAAGTATTTTTTAAAATAAAAATAGCGATTCTTTCATTTCCTTACCGAACGCTCCATTTTATAAATAAAAATACTTTTTTCCAATAAAAAGCACTGATTCTTTGAAAATACTTGTCACACAAATGCACTTGCGTCTTTAAGAAAGAGGGCATGGTATATATCACTAATGTCATGAAAGATCAATTAGAACACATCTCACCTTCATCTTTTTAGGAGGGAGACTAAGACTTATTGCTCTCTCAAACAATGCATGAGTCACTTCCGCATCACCCACTCGAATCTCCTGTTATTGTGAAAACAACTCAGACAGTAATATGCAGTGAAAAGGGAAAATTCTGGGGCACAGTTTGGTAGCCTTCTCTGACTTATTCTGCTGTTTCTCTGTCAGTAGCTTTTGACTTCTTCTTTTTATGAAAAACCTTACCAAACATTTTTCCTTTTAAAAAAAGCACCACATTCAGCTCTTTCAGATAAACGGCTCTCACCAAATGGGCTCTGTGTTTTCTATAAACATATATATATATATATAGAGAGAGAGAGAGAGGGTAAGCATGGCATACTTGATCAAGATACACACTCCACAAGTCTGTTCGCTTTGGATATTCCCTAAGCATTCCTTCAAACATGGATCTTCCCCGATCAGCAACCCCACATTTAAACTCGAGAATTGCTGTTTGAGTTATAAACTTGATATGCTTGTGCTTGGGAAGGCATAGAAGAGCACGGCTCACAATGGATTGGATGTTGTCACGGTTTTGATTGAGAAGCCACTGTACAAGCCTTAGCCATACCTGAACGAAAAGAGAAAATTTTAACAGAAAAAGAAGAAAAAACTGGTATTCACTAGGCCAATGTGGGTGCAGGGGTCTGATGGGGAGGCTGGTATTCAATTACGCTTGTACTTCATTTTTAGTGTTTTTCACTATATATGTGCTCTTGATGACTTTATGAGATGAAAATTAATATACTTGTATACCTTTGGTTGGTGTTTTAGAAAATTGTTTTTGGATCAATATGTTGCAGTTGTTTTTTGTTCTAGAAAATTCTGCTAGTAGTAGTGCGGAGGTGGATTTGTATGGAGTCAATTCGAAGAACAACATACAGGGCCCAGAGGAGCATATCACTTAGGTGGAGGCTAGGAGTGAATTTTAAAACATATAATAAAAAGATAAAGCAAGTGACGTTTCAAGCATCCATACCTTGCAGGAATGCTTGAACCTCTTCACCATTTTCTCAAGCATCTCTTCTGCCAGCTTGTGGTGCTCGGTCCTTTCATAGACACCCAATAAGGCCAAGTGCACCTTTTTAGGATCCAAATAACGCAATGCAGTTTGAAACACTTTCATTACAGCTTCCTAAAGAAGAGAACAATTTACAGACATTTTTAAGCATATACATGAAAATATGTGAAAGAATCAATCACCTGATGAAGTGAGCATTTCATTTTCCAATACCTGTGGAGGATCTCCATATTCCATTTCCAAATTAAAATAAGCAACCCAAACATTGAGCTTCTCAGACTCTTCCCGGATATTTATTGTACTCAAAGCCCTGCAGGGATAAAATAAAAGATTACTATAAAATAAGGGATTACTATAATAGCGTAGAAGTTATAGATAGAAGTTAGTTCAGGTTAAAACACCAAGTAAGATTCACTTTAAACTTTTAATTGTGACGCAAATCAGGGTATTTAATTTGAGGGGAAAAGATCATGAGACCACATAATATTGTCATTTTCTTACCCAATCCATGATCTTTGTTTTTTTACGACTCCTCACACTTTTTGTCAATCAGAGCACTACCGTTACTTAAATATGTTAGATATATGAAAAAAAACTCGAGAGTCTTTATTATTGAGACTTGCTTTAGGTGGCTAGTTGAAGAGTCCATATGTGTGTTATATATTGGGATTCATCCCGAGACTCAATAAGGGGAAAATGCATTCCTTCTTTTCTTTTGAAGAAAATATATAACAAGTAGTGCATGTTGAAACCCCATATTGCAATGGAGGTATATGCACTAAGTTAATGCCCAAAACTAATTTGAACATGAAGGCCCAACTTTCTTCAGTACTCTTATTCAATCTTAGAGCACAAGTTTTTGATAATTTTGTCACAATATCCTTTCCAGTAATTTTTCATGATAGAAAAGCAGCGGAAATATTCAGATAATGTGGCATTCTAATGAGATGAAAATATGGATTTTGTTATTTCTGTCCACAAATTAATTATATGACAGTATAATGACGGACCTCTCAGCTATAGATCGCGCCTTTTCTACATCAGCCAAAGAGAGCATGAATGACATGTACTTGATCCACACAAAGCTGCTATTAGGAGAACTATGAACTAGCTTCTCGAACTCATCAGTATTCCTGGGGGTATCCTTTACAAGCAGTCTTCCCTCAGCGACTATAATTTCCCGTTCCCTTTACGCAACATTGGCCATTACATAAAAGATTAAACTGTTGCTATTATGGAACTTCATGTAAAACCCAAGTCAGTATAGATTTCAATACCTCATTTTCTTTGCCTTCTTCAATGCACGCTTCTTCTCCTTTTCATCTATCATATCTGCATCGGTAGTCTGATCTGGATTTCGGTTGACATCATTATCAGTGTCTGAGTTTTCTATATGCTCAAGAGGGACTTCAAGTGGGGGAATGGAGGTTCGAGATTCTACTTCAGTGAGAATATGTTCTGTTTCATTTACAGCTGAAATAGCAAGGTTACACAATCCAGTAGAGCAGTTCTCTGGAAACACAGACGCGTCTGCATCGACAGAATCAGGGTGTCTTGATGTTATCTGAATACATTCACCACCATTATCACCCTTTACATATGAATACTTCATGCCAAGAGATATCCGGTTCCTTTCCTTGTCTACCTGATGTTGGAACACATAGATGTTGAATGTAACTGTTCAAGAAATAAACCTCTTTTTCCTATTCTTTTAGTTTTTTTTGGAGGCAAAGAACGAAGTGTAATAATGAGCAGGTAACAGCTCTAGCACACCCTTTTTACCTTTAGAATCTTTGCTCTCACAGTATCCCCAGCATTATATCTTGCTTGGATATTATCAATACCATCATCAGAGAGTTCGGAAACATGGCACAAGCCAACCTACGCATAGGAAATTGAAATTGTAAGCATGTTGTAAAGGATGACTGATATGGGGGAAGGAAAGAGGAAGTAGGGGTAATGAATAGTGTAGAAAAAGTAGGAGAGAGTGGAAACGTATGAAAGAGAAGATAAAAAGTAGAAAAAGTAAGGGCATTTGAGTATTTTAAAGGGGAAACATACCAAAAAGGGAAAGTGTAGCAAAAATTAAAATACAACCGAAGAAGTAAAGTGTAGCAGACATTTCAATACAAAGGGAGTATGTGATACACATAAGCAAAGAAGAACCGACTGACTTATCATGATAACCGGCTAACGGACACATCAATTGAAATCAATTAATTTGCAAGTCTTAAAAGAAGGCAAACCAAAGCTCACATGCTGAATGAATGCTTACTTTCATTAGTTTTAAATTTCATATTTGAAGGCACGTGCAAAAGCAAAAGATGGGCAGTTACTTAGCAAACGCTATAATAATAATTAAAAAATAGATCACACGGTCACAACATAAGGACTTGTTTACTGTAGTTTTTTTCTTACTAATTTCCCTTTTTCAAAGTAAAAATGACTATCTAGGAAGCACGGAAACGGCATTCCTCCTCTAGTTTCCGTCCCGGAAACGTTTCGGAAACGGGAAACGCCGGAAAACGCCTAGAAACGGCCGGAAACGCTGGGGAAAGGTTTCTGAGATATTGGGTTGTTGGGCCGGGTTGTGGAAACGTTTCAGAAACGTTTTTTAAGTGGACCTACCCGTTTCTTAATTAAAAATGAATAAACTTGGTTGACTTTCGCACTCCCAGTCCCTATCGGCGCAGAAGCTCGACGCGGAGAGTATCCAAAATCTGTTGGTTTGCTACTCTGCTGGACGGCTGGGAATTTTTGCATGCTTCGTATTTAATCTTTTCCATAAATTCAGTGCTTCCATAAATTGAGTGCTTATTGTTTTAAGTACGAACCATATGGAAGGTTTTTGGTTCTTGTAGTGAGGTTGGGAGTGGGTCAGGGAGTTCTTGGTGCTCATAATACACTTTTGTGGTATTATAAGAAAGAAATATGTTTGTTATATTTATTTTGTATTTATTGAACGTAAATATATTATCTATATTACTAAAATTTAAATTTTTAGTTCGACGTTTCCTTGCCGTACCCGTATCTTGATATTTTGAGATTGGAGTTTCCCCGTCCCCGTTTCCGTCCCCGTTTCCGCTTCCGTCCCGGTGCTACTTAGATGACTATGAAATCTGAAAAACGTTGTTTCCAGTTTTGTGTTCGCATTTTCAAAATTGACATGATTGATATGAGTATGGTTATTTTTTAGTTCATCATACAACCAATATTATATACCTTTTAAAATGGAAAAACAAAAAAAAAATTGACAGCGATAGCTAACAGGCTATAAGTTGATTGTTGTGAATATAGTGAAACAGAATACCCTTATTATCTTACCAGATTTGTGTGATCCACTGAAATAAACAAACCATAAGGCTCAATGCGCTTAATTCTCCCTGAAATAATGGTTCCAGCCACAAACTTGCTCAACGCATCCATGTCTGACTTTTGAGGGGTTATTGAACTTGATGTCTTCAGTGTTACTTCAACTCGCTTGGATAATGATTCGACTGATACCACCCTACAGTACAAAAAAACTTAATTATCTGCCAACGCCCAACAGAATCACTGAAAGACATGTAAACAAACATACTTACTTGCCAGTAACAAGTTTTCCCACATGGAATTCTTTCTCAGGGGCTTCAATGAAACCATCAGACAAATTCGAGACGAGTATTTTCGCATCAACCTTGCGGGAAAGCATAATGAAGCATCCTTTTGGAGTCACATTCTTTACATAACCCTGTTACACATAATAAAATGTTGAGGTAAGCGTTCATGTTATTAACATACTACCTTAACGGGACTCAAATGAAAGAAAAAAACTCTGAGCTAAAATCTTTCACATGACCACGATATGGAGATTCCTAATGATATGGGCAGATTAAAATTACTATGGCTTTCCATTTAAAAAGTGAAAGTATTTGTGAAAAAAATAGATGCATATATCAGTAATACTAAGGGGAAACTGTTATGGATATGGTTGGGAGATGAAGTGCAAGGTCATTATGACGTCGCCGACTAGGCATCCTTGTGATGGAAAATCAGGCACCTCTGGCGACATCCAGGCGCAGACCAGTCACATAGGCATTGTCCAGGTGTTGCGCCAGGAAGATTAAAATCAGTAAATTTGCTTTTAGAGGCCCAGTCCAAAATAAGATTTAGAAACTAGAAATATAGATACTCAAAACTCAAAGGACAATCATCGACTTCTAAAGTCTAAACTCAAAGCATTGCTGGTCAGTGGTCACTATTTCCTCTGCTACGTGCCTGCTTCGCAACTCACACGGTTGAAAACGATCTGCAGAACCTGATTGTCCGCTTTAATCAGTATATTCCACAGTCTACAGGTTTTTGTTTTATCGGTTATTCACTCATCAGACTTCTCATAAATATTAATAATATATGGTATATATTTAACATATACACAATTACGCGCTACGCAGTATACACACACACTACACAGATCAATTTTAATATTATACTTTGTATGTGAACTATACTGTATTTATAGATACACAATACAGTATACTACCTCCGTTCTTAAATAAGTGCAACATGTGAAATTTTACACTATTCACATGTTCTACTTTGACTAAATTTTATTTATTGATGTATTAATATATATTTTTGAAAAATATATTAATCAATTTGTCTCATTGTAAATTTTCAAAAACTAATTTTTTTAAATTTTTTACTAATACAGAATTATATATATTAATGGTCAAAGTTGTGTCTCGGCAAGTGTGAAATATTGAATGTTGCACTTATTTAAGAACGGAGGAAGTATATTAGTATCTGTAATTTGTAAATTACATTAACTACAAATAAAAACTAGTTTGTATTTATACACTATATATATATATATATATATATATATAATATTACATATAGTGCAGCTACTCGGCTAATTGTTGCCTAGGCGTGCCCCTAATTGCCTGGGCAATAAGGCGGTCGGCTGGAGCCGCGATTCACCTTACCGCCGTGACAGCCATGATGAAGAGGGAATTAAAAGCAAATTAAACATATCCAAATAAAAATCGCCCCCTGTCCTATGCAAGAGAAGGCGGCACTCGACAAGGAGTTAACTCCAAAATTATTGATGATTTCATATATTTCATAGTTCATACAGCACCTCTATTTTTACTAGCCTCACGAGTTTCCAGTATATAGTAAGTTAGTAACCCTAAACTATTGCAATAGAGATACTAGGTACTTTGAAATATAATACCAAATTATCAATACTAATAGAAAACTACTGCCAATAATAATAGCAAACTAATTATGACTAATGAAAACTACTAATAGTAATACATTTTTTTGTCCCTATCGTGTTCCTCTATCACGAGATATGTTCATATTATTATCCCTAGCACGAGGCTCCATATCAAACACCCACTTCCACCACGTTGAGATTTCAAACGACACATTCAATTTATCTTTCCTAATCTTGACTTCCTGAAATTTGGGCCAGCAATCCCAGCATTATAATGATAACAAGATTAACTGGGAAATTCAAATGCTACAATTTCTTTAGGGTTGATCGGAAATTTCAAAAAAATGGAATGGGATGTGCAGCTTCTTAATTACAATGGTGTTCCCAACTTCTTCATCAGTAAAGCACACACAGTAGCTCACACCCTAATAGGTATATAAATTGTCTACATCTTAAGAAAGCATAACAAATAACAGTAACTATATAGCGGTCAGTTCTCATCAAAGGTACATTTATGTATTAAAAGTACTTCTCTAAAAAGATAGAACATGGGATAAAGATTGTTTATCTACCTGCACAGTCATATTTGGGTAAAGATCTGTGATATCTTGTACATGGCCATTCCGAGAATGCCTGAAAGCAATTCAATTACAAATTACATTTAAATGCAAAAATGAATCATGAAAAGTCAGTCAGGAAAGCAGAATAACCAACAGCAAAATCTGAAGATTGATAGAGGCAAAGGGTATAATCCTGTGAGTTCTACATTCCAAATCACTTGACATTAAAAGCAGCACAGAAGCAAAATATCGTCAGTGATGATTAGTTCAAATCTATGTGCTCGAGAAGCAAAGCACTGATAGTTAAGGAGGCACGTGGCAAGGTCACAATTAATGGTAGCACACCAGTGACTCAACGTACAGTTATCACCTTCTAGATGATATGCAACCTAACACTAGAGGAATAATAAAAACGAAAACAAGTACGAAAGAATGATGACGCAAAGAAATGGCAATTGATGCTAACGTATTAGGCATTAATGATGATACTGATATTGAGCACATAAAATAAACTCCAAGTCAAATCGTTGGACTTACACATTATCCAGCTCAGAAATGTTTTGATTGTTCGTGCAATCTGAGATCAATCGGAAAGACAGATCAATGTGAGTAGTACCCGAGACTGACTGACCAACTTCTATGACCTTGCACTTGACAAACTGTCCTTCACTATAACCAGACAGTGGATCAGAGACCCACTTGTCACTCAGTTCAGTGAAGTGAACCTTTCCGTACAGGTGCACATTAAGTTGAACAACCAATCCACCAACACCGGGAAGGATTTTGGAAACTCTGCCACCCAAAATATTGCCTTCTCGAATACGCCATCTCATATTTTCACTTGAAGGAACTTCCCCGGGTGTATAAGGCAATGGCTGTAGAACTACACGCAACAATCTCTTCTCCTTGTTAGCACGTAAGACATAACCAGAAACGGCCTTACCTACAAAAAACCTTTTCTGAAACTCTTCAAGCTCACTAGGCTCGGTTGAGCTGTCTAAGATATAAATTTGTGCCCTAACATCCCGAGATATAGATAGCCACACCCATTCGCTGTCCACTTTATACACAAAACCGGAAATGAGTTGGCCTGTTGAGTAATTGAAGTCGTCGGGTAGACTATTCATATCACTGGAACCTGGTTGTGATGAATATAATTAATATGTCAAAAGATAGGATTCCCAAGAGAAGTTAACATGATTCAATGTGAAATGCACTAAATTGTTGAGCTTCACATGATATTTTTAACAAATACTCCCCCCGTTCAAAACTAGTGTTTCTATTCACTACATTAGTGTCAAACCAGCTTTATTCACTAAATCATGTTCATATTTGGTTCATGTTATTCTCTTTGAAGTACAAATACATCAACATTATTTTCTAGCATTAGGTCCGCCTGGATCTTTAGATATTACTCCCTCTGTCCCGCTAAGATTGTCCCATTTTTCCTTGTCGAGAAATCCCACTAAGATTGTCTCATACAAAATTTGGTAAAATCATTCTTACTTTATTCTTACTTTATCAAGTCAATATCAACCACATAAACTCAATTTTCTTAATAGCCGTGTCACCTCCTCATGTCTCAATGTTAGTGGGACGAAGGTAGTATAATCAGTCAGGTCCATGGTAGTAGATGGCACAAATGGCTATCGCCATTTGTGACAGATTATAACATCTAACGATCCAGGCAGACCTAATGCTAGAAAATAAAGTGAATGCATTTGTACTCCAAAGAAATAACATACCACAGTTTATACATAATTATGTATAAATGATCATGTGAGGCCTTTATTAAATATAGAAGACAAATACACAATGCCTTTAAATACTAAAAGCCAACAACAGAGATGTAAGAAGTTGCTTTTTTCAATAAACAATGAAGAAACTTCCAAGTATTTGTTATAATGGCAGAACAAGTTATATGTGGAGAAAAACTGTGGGCTGTTAGAGCGCTTGGATGGAACGAGGAAATGAAGTAAAAATGTGCAGGATATGAAAATCTGGCAAGAAATAACCTGCAAGCACAGAGGGTTTGGTCGATAACTCCCAGAAAGAACCTCTTTTGGTTTCAGATCTACTGCCCTTAGAAACTATCTTCGCACCTATAGTTTGTCCAATTCGAAAGTGACTAAGAGGGTCTTCTTCAGCATTATCCTCTGTTACCTGTTAAATTTTTATTGAAATTAAAAACCCGGCAATCTGTGATTCTCTCGATACTATTGAGAGAGAATACACACCCACCCCACCCCTTCATGGATGAAAAAGCAGATTGCATAACCGCATAACGACACTTGCTACCATCAGGGGGAAAACAGTATGCACCAAATACTAACCTCTGTTATGTGAACTCGACCATGGAATCCAGATCCAAATTTTACTCTTAATTCAAGAGGTGTTATATCAGTTATCTGCGAAACATTCAAAACAATAAAAAACATTTCAACATAAGATGATTGATAAAAAGAAGTTTCAAAACTCAAATGAATTCCATTCCCAAATGGGAGAGTGATTACTTCTGCTTGGACAAGAGATCCAACATCAAAATTGGAATTCTTTCTTCCCCTCTTTGAACTGCTCTCTGAAGCCTCACCGATAGCTTTGAGAAGCAAAAGCAATCTTCCACACGTTGAAGGATCAGGAAGTGCCATGATGGTAGCAATGAGGCTGCCCAAAGTATAATATTTATTTCATTAGAAGGCATGATATGAACATGTATTATAGAGATGCATGAATTTTCTTTAGCCGATGCATGAATTTTTATTAGCTGATGCATGAATTTTCATTAGCCTCTTAGTACTGTAAAATAGTACACATGCATTTTTGATTTTATATTTGGCATTTGGCAAATACATCTGAACGGAAAATGATTAGCAGCACAGTCAAAAATGTGTAGAAATAAAAAAAAGGCTACCTCTTGCCATTGAGAAATTGTTTCACCGAGAGATTTTGAGTGTTGAAATCATTCAGGGATGCATAACCCAGGGCATAATTACATGCTGGAATTGAAAGAACCTGTTTTGTGTATACCACGTGTAAGGAAGAAGTAGCTAGCAATCCTGATAAGCTATTACCAACAAGGATGTCAACCAAGTAATCTAGTAAAAAAAAATTCAGAAAATAACTTGCCAAGTAATTTTCCTTCACGATCTCCACCACTGCATTAACAGATTGATTTACCTCCAAATCTTTGCTATCTACCATTTTGCGTTTCTATGATATAAGGGAAACAGAAAGAAAAAGAAAATAAGCACAGGTCCAAAGGGGAAAGATAATTATTTTTCACAATCGAAGATCGAGGAAGCAGACAGTGTTTGGGAAAGTGCCATTGCAAATTGCAAATATGATACATTGAAGACTAATCTAACCTTTCTGTGATTTTTTCCATTTGCAGTCTGTGGCTTTGATCCATTAACAATTTCTGGCTTTAAAGATAAATCCACGAGGTGCTCTATCATGGAAACATCAATTACAGCAGCCTGAATAGTAGAGTCCAGATCCACATTGATTCCACCCACTGAAAAGAATCCATTTTATGTAGCGCATTTTAAAATTTTAAAGAAACAAAACTCAAGAGGTTCAGGCAGTGGTTCACAATTAACTTACACTGGTATTCTGAGATAAATCCAAAAACATCACCATGATTCTTAAAAGTGACAACAACACCAAACTCCTTTATTTCATGAACTTTTCCCTCAACAATGCTACCAAGAGTAAACTCATCAGCCCATCTCAGTCCAGAATCTGAGGAGTCCAAAGATAGAAGCTTGGCAATCTGTTTAGCAAGCAGAAGTAAAGGTCAACCTAATTAAAAAAAGATAATATTATAATTTATGACAGCAGCAGAGAGATTATTCAAGTATTTGACCTACAACGACATTGAAATAACAATATATCATCATTGCCCCCTTAATGGCAACTTTGTTGAAATCTGTGGACTGACATTTATGTTCAATTAAGAGCATCTCCAATGCTACAATGTGCACGGTGCACATGTGGCATGAGAGATAACCACACAAATATTAGTAAATAAATTCTGTATCTCCTTATTTGAATGGTTTTATGCAGTTTTGGTAAGTTTTTCTCTACAATGTCAAGGAGACCGTCTAGATGTTGACATTGCAGGGGAAAACTTACCAAAATTGTATAAAATCATTCAAATAAGGAGCGAGATAATTTATTTGCTAATATTTATGCGGTTATCTTGCATGCCACATGTGCATTGTGCACACTATAGCATTGGAGATGCTCTAATTGTCAAAAATTGGTGCACTACAACTCATGCATAAAAAGCATAGTGGCAAACTATTATGCTAGATGCCATTCTTGAAGCAACATTTTATGAATAATAAGATTTTTTAAGTCCAAAATTGTCATGGGAAATATCAGGTATTTTTTGTTAGACGTATACGAAAGCTGAAATGACACAATTAAAGGAAAAAACACATGGATATCAATATGTGTTGTTACGAAATCTGCCTAATCTCAGCATGTAGGCACAAGATCTTAGCTTGATCTTCTACGTTTTTTCGATTGATCGTCTCTAATCCTATCTGCGTTCAGCAATCAAGTCCCTCCTGCACGCTAGGATTGAGTAACCTGCCTGATTACTTTTATGTGCCATTGAAAATAGAATGTGCATCTCTCATTCTCTCCACAACACAATGTTTACCTATAACCACAGCGTATAAGATATATTGCGGCAAGAAGAGCATCAACTACCATCACAAGACATTGCCAATATGCTTTTTGCAAGCAATTATAGTGCTAACCAAAATTAGAAAATTTATTGAAATCAGCGTCCCTGAATTGTGGGGATTAAGGTGGTTATGATGATGATGGTCACATCTTACAAGATGTAAATTTGATTTCATCTGTTTCAAGCAAGGTTGTTAAGATCACGATCTAACTCGCTGAATCGTACGATTTTACGCTTAGAAAGGGGAGGGTCGAGTCGGATCGTTGCTAGGATCGAAAAATGGCCTGGGATCGCCGAATCCACGAGTAGAAACGTAAATCGTACAAATCGTCGATCTAACCGAGCTGTGATTTCTCAGCTCGAAAAACGGGAATCAAATGGCGGACGGAAGTCTAGAACGACGAGTTTAAAAAAATACTTAAATATCGGCGACTTACGATGAAGGAAGCCCAAGCACCACCTGAAACGTTAAGCGTCCCTGCTTCGTCGGCTTTAAATCACTGTTCCTTGTCATTTTCTTCGTCTCTTCTCTGTTCTCGCTCTGTTCTCTCAGTCGTCCGCTTCTTTGGTAGGTTTAGTTGTTCAGTTAGTCTTAGTTGTGATAGCAATAATAGGTCATGGGCTCATGGCAAGTGGGTTATCTTTTTTTTTTAAATCGTCCCATTCAAACGTTTTGCAATTTATTTTGAACTTGTTATGTTAAGTGTTTTATATTATTGCTTTGAGTCTTGAGATTATTTTATTATCATATTATTATTATATTAATATTAATTAGGTGTTTACATAGAAATTTAAATTGTATATATGTTTGTGTATATTTTATATATATTGCATTATAGGATCTTACGATCCGAGTTACGATCCCCTAGTTACGATCTGCTAGACCCCGTCCGATCCGTGCTAGGATCTCGAGTTTAACAACCCTTGGTTTCAAGTCATTCAAATAAGACTAATCCAAGATTAGTTTTACAAGAGTATCAGCAATACCTTGTGTTCCGAAAGAAAGTATTCTTGAATAAATGAAACATCAGTTGAAGAGCATAATGACTGCTTCAAAGACACTGTTATTCGACCAGATTCATCATTAACCTGAAAAGAACAGAATAAAAAGGCTCCAATGAGCTCCTACATATAATTACTTCAAAGCTCCAAGGTAACAATAAACCTACATCAAGGATGTTCGTACGAACTGATTGTCCAACGTAGAATACTTCAGAGGTATCGGATCTCCTGTCATCTGTAGCCTGGATACAACAAAGAGCGCCTGGTAGATCAGAATACCTATAAAATGATGCTTCACAGCAGGCATAAATGCATTATACGATCTTTGCAAGTCAAGATAGTAGCCAATGAACATTACCTTGCTTCTGGGAGAAAAACCAGTCAAACGCCCTAGATAGCGAACGAACACACCACTTTCAATTATGTTACAAATGTACCCCTGGTTCAATTGTTCAAATTGTTATTACAAAATGGCAAGAATCAAAACAAAACAGCAAGAATCAAATTGTTCCTGAAGTTCATGTTTCCCATATACTGGCCCCCACTAGTACATCTTTTGCCCAAACAGGCAAACATGTACTGGCCCAAACATGTGCAACTGTTTTTGGGGTCACATACTTTTATGGATATAATATAAGGGGGGATTTGACTTTGCACCCCATTTTTTGGGTGATATTGGACTTTGCACCCCATTTTATAAAAAAAACTTTGATTTTGCACCCCATCACATAACATTTTGTGAAGAAAATTTGTGAATGGGGTGCAAAGTCAAAGGATTTTTAAGTGAAATGGAGTACTAAGTCAAAAAAAATTTGAAAATAAGGTGCAAAGTCTAATATCACCCAATAAGTGGGATGCAAAGTCAAACTCCCCCAAGATATAAACATCAAGTCAGCCTGTGTATTTGTGTGTGCATGAATTATTCACTTCACTCATAATTTCCACTTGTTAACCTAAATGGGCAAAAACAGTACTTGAAACGGAGAAACAAATACGAAATAAATTTTAGGACATCTCATAAGTTCGCTAGACAAATGCAAAGTTATTAGCAAAGCTGCAAATTTATTCATCCTCCCCGCTACTGCATCATAACATCTATTTTTGTACGAAAAAGCATATGTGCATGAGCAAAACCACAATAAAAAAGGAAATGCATTTCATTAAATGGGCAAGTGTTCGTACATGCACCACCGAATGCGGGGAAATTTGACTAACATCCAGAGGAAGATGATGAGACGTGCTGATTAGTGAGTACTTGGCAGAAAGTACCAAATTGCAACCTTCAACATCTACAACAATAAAGTAAGTGTTCAAAAAAATCCAGAAATTCTCCCTACAGAGTAAATGCCACTCTATAAGACTGCCTGTCGTCCAAGATTTTTTAGAAGTCCTAAATGCTTAAATTGGAATTTTGGACACCCGAATCCATACATTGGGGGACTTATTGGGGAGGGTAAATGGAAAGTGGAAGGGAGGAGTTGGTTCTTAGCTGGCTGATAGACTCCTGGGCGAAGGGAAAAAAACGGACATTCACGGAGGAAAAAATCTCTCTTTTTTAAAGTGTTAAGATTTTTTTACTTCTACTCCAAATATATCAAAATTCATAAGTTTTTTTAATCTTTCATATGACACCAATATTGCATATACTTCCTCCGTTCTTTTTTAGTTGCAACATTCCTTTTTTCACGTTTGCCAACGCAAAACTTTGACTATCATTATATTTAATTCCGTAATAGTAAAAATAAAGTAAAATCAGATTATAAAACTTAGTAATGGGACGAATTTAACAATATTTTTTCAAAAAATAATAAATCACATACATTAATAAATAAAATGTAGTCAAAGTAAAGTACATGAATAGTGTATGTATTCCAATGTTGCAACTAATGCGATACAGAGGATAATATAAAGTTTAGAAAAAACGAAATTCCAACTGCTGGAGTTTTTTAGGCCCGAAATATTTCTTAAGTAGATCCAAGAGCTAAAATTAAGATCTCATAGATCAATTTTTTTCCGCCTTTCAATTTTTTTTTTCACCTTTCAATTTTCTCAAAAAACAGGTCTGAAGTGACAACAATAAAATTAAACACCAAATTTATTTATTTTACATTGGAATGCTTTGACCTTTTGAATCACAGTTATCCATAAAAAAGTATTGGCAAAAAATGATGTATAATGTGAAGTAATAAAAGTAAGAATTTAATTACTAACCGAAAAAAGTAAAAAAATTACAATTTTTTGCATCGAAATGTGAGTTCTTTTACTTCATAATTATCAGGAAAAAATCAAAGAAAAACACTCTGCTTGTAAGTTGTAATACTTTAATTAATATTTTACTAATCTGATATGTTGAAAAATATGTTGAGTGATTTTATTGACGGTGCTGGAATGTAGGGAAAAACTTTATTGATGGAATTGATTCATCATTTTTACATCAATGGAGTTCATATTTAAATTTTATGATGGTGCAAGGACGGGGATAGTCTAATTATATATATGCCAAGACTCCACTCCCACCCTTTGCATATCTATTTTGTGAATGTAAGGACGTACATTGTGAAGAAAGCTCATGGAATAAGCGCAGTCCTCTTAAACTAGATGCACGTAGAGTAGAGGTACAAAGACCTCAAAAAAGAACATTCAGCTAAGAGAAGGATGCAAGATTACCAAGAACCAAAAGCTGGTCAAACTCAAAACCAGGCTTCAAGTTAGACTTCATTAACTCAGCAAGGCCTGTTTAGACATGATATTAAAAATTAAATTTAATAACTAATTTTCAAGTGCCAAGGAAAGATACATCTGGGTACACTCACATACGACCAAGAGATGTATCAGCAAACAGAGAGAAAGCAACATCATACTAAAGGTGGCAACACCATCGAAAGAAATTAAAATGAAAAGTTATTAGGGGAAAAAACAAGAGTGAAGGCATACCACGATGATCAGATAAATGTTCTGGATGAATCGTTCCTTTCAAACAAATTTGAGCATTTTTTACAGTTACCACAATGGCATCAGGAGTAACTAGATCAATGGTTCCAGAAACGACATTTCCCGGTTTAACCAATTCATTCTCGGACAACCTAGAAATGTGAAGGCATTAAATATATATCAAAGCATATGGTAAGATTTTAAATGGTAAACATGGAAGTCTATCTTTTAAAATTGTTAGAAGGAACTAAGATATAGTCAAAGTTGAGAATACAAAAGTACGATGTGCATTGTTTTTATGTGACCAGAAGCCCTATAATACAGGTACCCCTAAGATGTAAGGACCTGCAAATCCACACTTGTTCAGGCTCCAACATTACATGCTTATAATGTAGATATGAAAACAGTAGCATGTGAAAAATAAATGTGAGCATCAACTAAAGCAACATATAGAACATTTTTTAAGGCAAACTAGAGTAGTATTTGAATCCTAAAAGAAGGCTCACACAAATATTCATTAACACTCAATTAAGCCGTAGGCCACACTAATTCTAGGGTTTGCTGTCTATGTGGATGCTTGGGGAGATTTTATATTTGTGCATGTAGACCCCTTTCCTATTTGTTTATGATACTATATTAATATCAAAAAAGGGAGTAAATGATAAACTAGGCCTGCAAGATGAATAGAGGGGTGTTTAATTGGGGGGGGGGGGGGGGGGGGCGGTCATGCATAAGGCAAGAAACTCCAAAAAAATCTCACATGTTTCATTATACAGATGTTTAAACAATGTTCTAAGGTAGCAAACCTCATTGGTCTTGAAGTAAAACTGAGGTTGATTCGTCTTGATGCAGGGTTGGAACTGACAACTCTGCACTTCACAACTTGTTCAACATGATACATTGAGTTTATTTCAGAGCCAGGATCTAATCCAAGCTCAGACCTGGAAGGTAAATGAATGAGTACTACGCTACTAAACCAGGTCCAAGATTCATATAGAAGCATCAGAGGAAAATTTAATCACATTAAAACTTTACATTTTGACATAAACAGTGTTCTAAACTTAATTTGCTTGAAAGCTCAAATAGATCCTTGATTCTCTATAAGGGTTGTACCCCTCAGCAGAGAGGCAGAGCATTTAACTTCAGCTACCAATAGTTACAACTTTTAGCTGAACATCACTTTATCCTAGAGACCCCAACTGTCAAATGTAACGAACTACGTCTACTTGGTAAAATAATTATACGAAAAAATTATTGAGCATTAGTTATAAGAGCATAAATAAATAACCAAAGGTAGAAGTGTAGAAAAATGTAGCATATACATGTTATTTTATTATGTGTACATCTGAAACTGTATAGATAGGAATTAGAGTTGATTTAGGACTCTAACTCTTAGATTAGCTCGCAGTGTAGATAAGAATAGATAGATCCTAATATTTAGGATCTGTAACAAACCTTAGCTTATCTGTAATCTTGTATATATATCATTGCCGGATGGCTCAATAATACATGGAAGATTAATTCTTCAAACCTACATGGTATCAGAGACTCGGTTTAAACAATGGTAGAAACCAGTGAAGCTGATTCCTCACACACTATCAACCCTAACTCCCAAATTAGCTCTATGACAAATTACCAGTCTCCTATTCATTCATCTATGATAATCACTAGTCATAGATTGAATGGAACAAACTATCTGGAGTGGTCTCAATCTGTCAGACTTGCAATTGATGGGAGGGGAAAGCTGGGTTACATCACAGGAGAAATCCAACCAAAACTACCTGCAGAAGAAGGGTACAGTACATGGAGGTCAGAGAATTCACTCATAACAGCTTGGCTTCTCAACTCCATGGAACCCTTAATTGCCAAACCTCATATGTTTATGAAAACTGCAAAGGAGGTATGGGATTCTATTAAGGAAACTTATTCAGACCTTGAGAACTCTTCTCAAATTTTTGAACTCAAAACCAAACTATGGCAATCTAAACAAGGCAATAGGGATATTATTTCATACTACAATGAAATGGTATCTCTGTGGCAAGAATTAGATCAATGCTATGATGATGAAGAGCGGGAGAGTGCTAAGGATCTGGCCAGACATAAGAAAAAAGAAGAGAATGATAGGGTCTATATGTTTCTAGCAGGGACCAATAGGGACCTAGAAGAAGTTAAGGGGAGGATACTTGGAAAAAAACCTCTACCTTCTATCAGGGAGGTATTTTCTGAAATCAGGATGGAGGATAGCAGGAAGAAGGTCATGTACAACACCCCAGCACCTAATGAGGAACCTGGGGAATCTTCAGCTTTGGTGGCCAAAAGTGATGACAACAAGAAAAAACCTTGGTGTGATCACTGCAAGAAACTGTGGCACACAAGGGATACATGCTGGAAACTCCATGGAAAACCACCAGGAGCTGGGAAGAAGAAAGTAGAAAGGGCCCTACAAACTACTGTGACTGAGACTCAACAAGAGGCAAGAGTTGAACCTAAACAGCTACCATTCACTCAGGAACAGATAGAGTACCTACTCAAATTCATACCCACCCAGAAAATCTCCAACCAAGAAAACCCTACCTGTTCTTTAGCCCAAAATGGTAAAATAACATCATATTTTTGTTCTGAAAAACCTAAAAACACCTGGGTCATTGACTCAGGTGCAACAGACCACATGACCTACATTCCAAAGTTTTTTTCTTCTTATCAACCTTGTGCAGGAGATAAGAAAGTTAGAGTTGCAGATGGCTCTTTTTCAGCCATAGCAGGGATGGGAAATATTAAAATTTCCTCATCCATTAACCTTTCCAAAGTCTTACATGTTCCTAAACTTTCCTGCAATCTTATCTCTATTAGCAAAATTACTAAGGATCTTCAGTGTTGTGTAAAAAATTTTCCCTCTTATTGCATTTTTCAGGATCTGGCATCAGGGAAGATGATTGGCAGTGCTAGAGAGGAGGATGGCCTCTATACTTTTGATGAAGGAACACAATTGAATAAACAAGGTCAAGAAAAAACTTGTTTGCAAACTGTTTTTCCTTGTAATAATGAAGTGTATTTAATGCACTATAGATTAGGTCACCCAAGTTTTTCCTATCTGAAAATGTTGTTTCCTGAGTTATTTCTTAATAAAAATCCTTCATCATTTCATTGTGATATGTGTGCACTTGCCAAACATCATAGGAGTTCTTACATCCCTCATAGTTACAAACCAACTAGTCCTTTCACTATTGTACACAGTGATATCTGGGGTGCATCTAGAGTTTCAACTCTGAAAGGAAAAAGGTGGTTTGTAACTATCATAGATGATCACACAAGGGTCACATGGGTGTTTTTACTTAAAGAAAAATCTGAGATTGAAGAGGTGTTCAAACAATTTTACTCAATGATCCAAACTCAATTCAACACTAATATCAAAATTGTGAGAAGTGATAATGGACTTGAGTACTTTTCTAAGAAGTTAAATACTTTTTTTGCTGAAAAAGGGATTGTTCATCAAAGTTCCTGTGTAAATACACCTGCTCAGAATGGAATAGCTGAGAGGAAAAATAGACATTTACTTGAAGTCACTCGTGCAATTATGTTTTCTGCTAAAATTCCAAAATATTTATGGGGAGAAGCTGTTTTACATGCTACCTATCTAATTAATAGGATGCCATCAAAAACTCTAGGATTCAAAACTCCTATTGATACTCTTCAAGCTTGTTTTCCTGAAACTAGACTAATTAATTCTCTTCCCATAAAAATTTTTGGATGCACAGTTTTCATTACCAATCCTGACAGAACTGCAAGTAAATTTGACCCTAGAGGGAAAAAATGTGTTTTCTTAGGACTCTCTTCAACTCAGAAAGGCTATAAATGTTTTGACCCTATAACAAAAAAGATGTTTATAACTATGAACACTGTTTTTGTAGAAGATCAACCTTTTTTTGGTACTCATCTTCAGGGGGAGATTCCTAATGAAGATGGTAATAATGTATCACATATCCATGAAAAACTAGAACCTCTTGACATTAATCTAGATGCACAGTATAATAGACAGTTAGATGCACTAGAAAATAGTCAAGAGTCAAAAGAAAATGAAAAAAAAAAATCTGAAACAAGGAAAGATGATGAACAGCAGACAAGTAAGTTTTTTGGCAAGGTTTATGAAAGGAGAGTTCCAAATCACAGAATAGAGGACATCCCTGATCCTGCCACTGTCCATGAATCTGACTCAATGCCAGAAAATGACAAAGGTAATAATTTCAATGATCTAAATCTACCCATTGCTCTCAGAAAAGAAAAAAGGTCATGTGTTAAATACCCTATCTCAAACTATCTGTCCTACTCTCAGTTATCTACATCATTTGCAGCCTTTACCTCTAGTCTTTCCACTGTCTCTATTCCCTTAACCATACAGGAAGCCCTATCTATACCTGAGTGGAAGAAGGCTGTTTTAGAAGAAATGAATGCCCTTGAAAAGAATCAGACATGGCAGACTGTAGAGGTACCCAAAAACAAACCAAGGGTTGGATGCAAATGGGTGTTTAACCCTAAATTCAAGGCAGATGGTACACTTGAAAGATATAAGGCCAGATTGGTTGCCAAAGGATACACACAAACCTATGGCATAGATTATACAGAAACTTTTGCACCAGTTGCAAAATTAAATACTATAAGGATCCTACTATCTCTAGCTACTAACCTAGACTGGCCTCTTCAACAGTTAGATGTGAAGAATGCTTTCCTAAATGGGAAGCTTGAAGAGGAAGTATACATGAGCCCTCCTCCTGGGTTTGAGGAACAATATGGCTCAAAGGTGTGCAAGCTAGAGAAAGCCTTATATGGGCTTAAACAGTCCCCAAGGGCTTGGTTTGAAAGGTTTACTCAATTCATAAAGAAGCAGGGATTCAAGCAAGCCCAAGCAGATCATACACTATTCATGAAATTCTCCATTAAGGGAGAAATTGCAGTACTAATTGTTTATGTGGATGATATAATTCTTACAGGAAACTATTGTGAAGAGATTGAAGACCTGAAGAAGAAGCTTGCTCAGGAATTTGAAATCAAAGACCTGGGAGAATTGAAGTATTTTCTTGGCATGGAGATAGCCAGATCAAAGAAGGGAATTGTGGTATCCCAAAGGAAGTATGTACTAGACCTACTTCATGAAACAGGTATGAGTGCCTGCAGACCAATCGATACTCCAATTGACCCTAATCAAAAGTTAGGAAATGTCAAGGAAGGAGTACCAGTTAATATTCACCAATATCAAAGATTGGTGGGAAGGTTGATTTATCTGGCACATACAAGGCCAGATATTGCCTTTGCAGTCAGTATGGTTAGTCAGTTCATGCATAATCCATTCCAAGAACATCTAGATGCTACCTACAGGATCCTAAGATCTTTGAAAAGTTGTCCAGGGAAAGGATTATTTTTTAAAAAAAGTGACAATAGAAGTGTAGAAGCCTTTACAGATGCAGATTATGCTGGGTCAATAACTGATAGAAGGTCTACATCTGGGTATTGTACTTATGTATGGGGAAATCTGGTGACTTGGAGGAGTAAGAAGCAGAATGTTGTTGCCAGAAGTAGTGCAGAATCTGAATTTAGATCTATGGCTAATGGAATCTGTGAACTACTTTGGATCAAGAGAATGATGACAGAGTTGAAGATGGAAATGGACCTACCTATGAAGTTATATTGTGACAATAAAGCAGCCATTAATATTGCTCACAATCCTGTGCTACATGATCGTACTAAACACATTGAGGTGGACAGGCATTTTATCAAAGAGAAGATTGAAGCTGGAATTGTGTGCACACCATTCATATCTACTAAAGAGCAGACAGCTGATATCTTTACAAAGGGGCTGTTTAAACCAGTGTTTGAATTTCTTATAAGCAAGTTGGGAATGTATGATATATACTTACCAACTTGAGGGGGAGTGTAGAAAAATGTAGCATATACATGTTATTTTATTATGTGTACATCTGAAACTGTATAGATAGGAATTAGAGTTGATTTAGGACTCTAACTCTTAGATTAGCTCGCAGTGTAGATAAGAATAGATAGATCCTAATATTTAGGATCTGTAACAAACCTTAGCTTATCTGTAATCTTGTATATATATCATTGCCGGATGGCTCAATAATACATGGAAGATTAATTCTTCAAACCTACAAGAAGTAAACCCTGGAGCAAAATAAATCTGACAGCCCCACTAATTTGAAAACATTTTAAACTAAATAAATATTAGCTAAGTGGAAAACATAATACAATAACAACTGCAAAAAGAAAAGGATAGCTGCTGCTTTTCCATTATATTTTGAAACATAAACCAGTAATACAGGTCTTATATGCCATGCAACTATTGATAGCCTCTCTGACTACAATCATTAGGTAATATCCAAAGGGAGGCTTAAAAATTACCTACACTAATGACTACTTTTAGTGTATGTGTGTATCACATAATGTAAACAAAAGTGAATAAAGCACATCCCTTCCAGCAAGACTCTTAGCCTAACATGGTATTAGGAGTAAACCAAAGTAATCCCTCCTGATCCCATGAGCCAAACAGCCCCCCTATGTGGTAATCAAGAAAGGAATAATGATAGTAGGAGCAGACCGTGCAGCAAAACCTTGCACTCCATTGTAGAACCGAACAAAGCAACCGTGCTTTTCAATCTTCGTTATCCATCCATGTGTTATCAGTCCCTCAGTAGCATCAGTGTATGAGCTTAGGATTCCATATTTAGATTTAACCTACAAAATTCAGTAGGGTAATACAAAAGGCCAGACATGTTTTTTCTTCAAACAGAATCATCAAAATCACACAACATGAGATGATGAGCAGCGCGCAACAGGAAAAGACACAGCACATCTTCACATGTATGATGTAGATATCATAATGTTATGAAGAGACATACAAGAGTTTTCTTATGGGTAACTGTAATCCTCTTGGACTTGCAACCAAGCACACGAAAGACAAATTCAGATCCCACCTGAAAGAAATTTTAGAAGTGCCTATTAGACAAGAAAAAAAACAAAGAAGATTAAACAAAAGACAAATTATAAAGAAGAAAAATATTTATCACCTGAAACTTCTTCCTAGGCTTTACTATTTCAAATTCTGACATATGTCGTAGAGGACAAAGCCCTTTCACGCCACTTGCAAATTGCACAATGGCACCAAAACTGTCAACAGCCATAACTTTAGCCTTTACTACCATCCCAGGCTTGACATCTGAGTGAGTGAAAACTGATCCTTCAAATGCACTACTCTGTAGTAATAAATAAATAAATCAAGGGTGAGAATATTGCACAAACAAGTAAACAGGCGATTATACACTTAGGATGTATAAAAATGATTCCGTGAAGAACGAGCAAATACGCAAGAAACTGGAAAGTGGAGAAAACTAGATGTGGTTCATGTTACAGAGACACATACTCCAACTCTAAGTATCAGCAAATTTACTAGTTAGATGCTGATTCTGCGGTTTTGGTTAGAACATATTTTTCAGTAGCAATGACAATTGAATGTTGACTAACTCGTGAAACGTGTACATCTAATCACAAAAAAGATGTATTCATTTTATATTATACTAAAATAATAACTTGCATTATATTTTACATTTTCCAATCCTAAGGATATTGATCAAGAGTGTGGGGCAACCTTCAAAACACCAGTTGCAAGCCCGTCTAAATGCCTAAACCCCAGAACTCGGACGCGGACAACTTTCCCCGCCTTGAAAGTTTTCTCCAGTTTTTTCACTTCCTTATCATCCACTTCAGACAGCTGTAAGCTCTCAAATTAAAACAAACCATTAGTTAAGAAACTGCATCTCCTCATTGCATCAGTTTACCAGGTGAAGAGAGACTTACATAAACATATGCTGGGGTGGGGACAGGAGAAGAGGGAAGTTCCAATAGAAGACCAATTCCTCTATCAACCCTGATTACATTTGCACGCTCAAAAATATCACCAGCTTTAACAAGCTGCATCAAAGACAAGTAACCATAAAGATCATGTAAGGGTGTTTCAAGCAGCCAATCTTCCAAAAATCTGGAGGGTTGAGGGTACGATATTATCCTAGGACCAAATTTAATCTAGCCTCTCTGAGAGTTTGTCCTATCAACATAATTAAAATTTGGTGTAAGGCACAAATGCGACATGCAAAGTGGGACCAAGGAAACAAGCCAGAAATTTAGAGTAGTCACTTGAAATAGACTAGAACAAATATTCAGTAGACCAAAAAGAATAGTCTTTTACTGAGGCAAACACAACCACTGCAATACTGACATCGCTCCCACCCCCTCTCCCATCCAAAAGAAGATGATTTGAAAGCAAATTGTTTGTTTAGTGTCCTACAAGATGTACTTACTGAAGGTGGAGCCATTTTATTGACCAGGTGAGGGTTTAAGGACAACCCAACCGCTCGAGTTGAGGGATCAATAAACAATATCCGAGCATTAACCTGTACCAATCCATGATAAACAAGTCAAAATATATGTAAAGAAATAAACTGTTGATGGAGTTACGGTTCACCAACCATTCGAGTGTCCTAAGCAAAGAGAACACTCATATCTGACACACACACACACATGCAACAACATCCAAGCATTAGCCCCAAAAGAATTTGGGGTCGTCTAACATGAATTGACATATGAAATTGGAGTTAGACTTTATAATAAGAAATCAATTCCCCACATATATATATAATATACTTGTCACGGCGGTAAGTCGAGTCGCGGCGCCGGCCAACTGCCATATCGCCTAGGCGATTAGGCGCCCGCCTAGGCGACAATTAGGCGACTAGTCGCCTATATATTTATATATATAATTATGTATATAATTATATATATAATCATACATATAATTAAACTATGCAAAATATATATCATACGTAGTATATATTAGTATGTACCAGTTTTTATGATTATTTTAACAGTTTATTATTTTGTAATTTAGAACATATAATAAAATAGAAGTCTCACAGGTTTGGGTATATCATTATATCATATTATATCTTGATTCTGTAATATAGAAGTGTATATATACACATATATTGATAGATAGATGAAAATACACCCTTTATACACAACTTAATTAATTAAAATAATAAAAAAATGAAGCCAAGAAGAAGAGATCGAGGACTGGGAACTAGGGAATCGCCTGCTACTCTGCTTCCGCGAGCGAGGGACAAGGAGGGCCATACCTGCGACTTTGTCTTCTTCGTGGAGTTGTTCGTCTGCTTCCTACGACTCTACGAGGCTGCGACTTGGCTTGGCTATACGACTTTGGGCAACGAATCATCGGTAAGGAAGATTACTATGGGCTTGCTTTTAATTAAAGCCTAAATCTATTTTTATTTTGGGTTCTGGGCCTGCGCCATAGCAGTCCGACTTTCCAAAAAGGCGAGGACTTCGACGCCAAAACAGCGCCTAGACGACGCCTAGACGACGCCATTCACGACTACTCTTCATCTTGCGAGGCGAGTGAAGCTGGCGAGCAGTCCCTAGCGCCAGGACGCCTAGTCGGCGACTAGGCGACGCCGTGACAAGCATGAATTATATATATCCTATATCATCAGTATTCCTCGTGAGTTACAGCATGAGTTTCTTCCTCTTAATTTTTAGTGAGAAGTGAGGAAAAAAGCATTCACTAGCCTCTTCAATGTAACAAAAACAAATGCAAAAAAAGAGTACCTTCTTTTTTTGAGGATAGTCGTCCTTCCAATTTGGAGGGGGGAAGGTTTTTTGTAAATTAAACAAGTCAGCCTGTAAAACAAAAATAAATGTAAATGCAACAAATGCATAGTTGATAGTACACTATAGCTGATGAAGTGTGAAGATGGTGATAAAAAACATGAGGAAATCCATCAACACTTCAAACTTACAGTTCCAGTGAAATAAGTGAGGAATGACAGCATAACCCCATTTTCAAGCACTGACAAGACACTAGCACTAACCATCATTCCTGGAACTAGAAGATCAATCGAAATTCCTTTGAGTTCCTTAGTCTGCGCACAAGGTCATTCATATAATTCAAGTTGGGGATGAACTTGTTTTGTTAGGCATTAACAACCAGGTAATGTGTAACAGGGATGGATAGGACCAAACTATAAATAATGAAATACAACATACCACACTTCTTGCAACTGCTTCAGGAGAAGAGCTTAAATATACCACTTTGCGCACTCTGTCAATGTTTTTGACGATCCCCTCCACAAGCTGCCCAGTGTTTATCTTAATTTCCTTTCTTTCTGCCAAGATCAAGAAGAATGAGCAGAAAATGGAATCCAAATCAAGTACAGTATTCATATGAGAGCAGATAAATAAACACATAGAAAATGATGCCCATAATAATCAGTACACCGTGTATTCCATAAATTCCAAAAAGGGAGAACTAAAAAAAATTGCCTAGGGTATGTTTGGGAGTTTGAAGGGAAGGGGAGGGAAAGACTTTGGAGGCGTGTTGTAAGAGGGGAAAGGGAAGGGAAGGTGAGGAAACCCTTCTTCGTATTTGGGAGTTCAAATTGTGACAGAAGAGAGTTTTTGAAGGAATACTAATTAAAATGACTTTGAGATATGACGAACTAAAAAAATTGAACTGATTATCATTTTTAAATGAGCTTAAAATTATCATTTCATTAATTATCCTTCAAAACCCTCCAAATTGGGGGAACTTAAAAATTAAGCATTTAGAGGGTTGCAAAAACCCTCCAAAACCATCCCCTCCAAATTTTTAAACTCCCAAACATGAGAAGGAGGGTTATATACCCCATCAACCATCCCCTCCCCTCCAAAACACAACTCCCAAACATACCCTTAGGGAACTTTATAAGCCCTATTTAAAAATTAAAAATGACTTAATCTAGTTTTTAGCGGGTGTAGGTATGTGTCCAAGAAGAACTACTGCTTAATTGGAAAATGGAATGCATTATTTTATAACAGACTAGAAAAAAATCTTAATTTCATAACTGTAAGAATATACATGTTCTTATTCATGATCATCACTACAATCACCTACAAGGTCAAACACCTACCTACTATCAAGGTAGTCAAACTTGAGATTCTATGTCGGATTGTGTAGGAAAATAAAGATCGTAAAAAATATGATTGTGATGCAGATCGTAAGATCCTACATATGAAGATCGTAAATCGTAAGGGTGTGACACTGGTCATAAGATCCTACACACATATGTGTACATGTGTTGTGAATATGTCATCCCGTCCCTAAGCCCTAACTAGATTGGACAACGGTATATAAATGGGTAGACCTTAAAGGCTTAAATGACTACCCTACATTGTTGTGGCAACAAACAATCAAACCACTGTTTCCGACTCTGCTACAATCTCAGATTTAGTGACGGAAAGTTACATATATTTAATCAGTGGTTTATTTTCAAAATTAAGAATTTATTACATAGTGTTTATTGATAGAGTCCGAGTCCAAGAAAGAAGAAGACAACCACAAAGAACACCAAAACCCTAATAATACTAAATCACATACTAAAACCCTAAACATACACCAAAGCCCTAGTAACTTTCTACACATGCATACTTACATCGACCACAATTTACGAACTACGCCACAACCAACTTTATTAACCTCCAGCCAAAAAATCCATCCTGCAAAGTCCAAACTGCCACGAACACTAGCATGACTACTAGTGTACTCCTGGTAACACTGACCTATACGTACTTCCACTCAACCCTACCCACCTAAACTCACTACCACCATCCACACTCACCATGTTCAAAAATAACCCTTTTCCGGTCTAGAACTCTTCCTAAAGATACTTCAACAACAACAACAACATTACCCTAATGCCGCAAAGGCTCCCACTTACGGTGGGGTAAGGGGGGTCAGATGTACACAGCCTTACCCCTGTACTAAAGCACAGAGTGACTGTTTCCGGATGACTCATGATGAAAATCATGTTGAAAATTGCATGGACTAGCTGCTGCTTCATGACAAAGAAGCGCAGACAGTTTAGTGAGCTGTTTTACTTTATTCCATCGTATTCTCAAGTCAAAAAATAGTGAGTCTTTGGCTCCATTGGAAATGATGGAGGTTCCTAAAAAACAAAAGCATGTACTGTTGAGAGAAGGACGTGATCAATATATTTAACTCTTTTAGATTAGAATTAGATAAAGAAACCAAATATTAACCGTGAACACCCCCCACACCTTGAAGAATATCACATGTTAGAATACTTCCTAAGAGAGAACCTAAACATTAGATTGTGTAGAGAGATTACATGTTAGATGGAAATTACCCGATTGAGGGCTTATAGGCATAAAGCCAGAAAATGTAGGTAACCCAAAATGAAGCAAGTATCCATGGTCTTCAGTGCTTTTCACATAAGCACTAAGAATCTGCATATCGATCATCACGGAAACAAAATTAGTTTAAGAGTAAATGTCTAAAGGAGGACTTTGATTAAATAGATAATCAAAAAACATGAGCTGGGGAAGGAATCCAAACAATTTAGAACGATAACAGTTACCCTGGGAGCAGAAAACATAGTGCAAAAAAACACTTAATACATACCATTCCTTCCTGAACAGTATCAAGAGTCAAATTCTTGTGTAATAAACCAAGACGTAAAGACAGCCATATTTTCCGCTTCCCTACTTCTTTCTTGTCATCATCCAAATCTAATACAATGCAAGAAACCAGCTGTCCAACATGAAATAGGCTAGAGAGATAATTGGAATCCATCTCCAGCTGTAGTACAAAATTAAACTTTTAGAGCAATAGATAAACGAATGAGGGCAAACCTTATTGTTAATAAAACTATAACAAACTTTTTAGAGAACAGAAAGGTGATATTGAGAATTTTCTGTTTACTTTTTAAAGGTTCATTACTCTACTTTTACAATTATTAAATGGTAGGAGCATTTATGACCAAGTTGAACACCCTTTGACCATGACTTTCACTTTTGTACACTGGATTACGAAATGCTAGAGCACTAGATCATTAACAAGTAGAACAACAACAAGAACCAATTAAAGTATGTCTGCAATTGAGGGGGGGATCTAGTACCATGTTTGCCTCAGTATCATATAAAGGATCATGTGTTTCAGATGCACGGGCTAATCCTCGTAACCCCCCAGGAAGACTGATGACAAGATCTTTCTCATTTATTTCAGAAATTACCCCCAAAAGCTTCATTCCAGGAGATATGTTCTGAAAATCATGTAAAGAGAAAGAGAGTGATTAACACATGAAGTCAGTAATTCAGCATAACAGGGATGTGGTAAAAACATACTACGAAAAGAATTGAGCAGATGACTAAATTAAAAAGGGATATCACTGACGTGAGGGAAAGGCAGTATAAATGTAATGATTAAAATTAATTCCAACTGGTATAGTAATTTACCGATTTCTACATAGCAAAATACAGGATTTGCTATGAGTAGATATAGCAAACTGAAATCTCTGAGTAAAACAGTCTTAGACTCTTAGCTAATACTCCCTCAGTCCCAATTTGTAAGATATGTTTCTTATTCACTTGGTCAACATAAATCAATCTTAATCTTTTACTTTATATATCAAAATTTAATGAAATATGAATTATTTTTTGCAGGCTTTGTAGCGGTTTTAATGTAGTTTCTGAATATGTAAATTTTATTTTCTAAAACTAATTTGAATGTTGACAGGGATCAATTTGCTTTATCGTCGGTCAAACATCGTAAACCGTAAAGTGCCTTACAAATTGGAACGGAGGGAGTACTATTCATAAAAAAACTAGATTTCGCAGATCAATTAGGGAATCCACACCTCTTTAGATGCCTTAAACATGCACAACTTATTAGTTCATTCTCTCAATGTGCAACACCAGATAATTTTTTCCTTCAGTTATCAAATCTACCCATTTTCCTTAAATCTAGTACATACAAGATTATTAATTAGATATGCAAAAGTTAATCTATCTTTGAAGAAAAGTTCCACATTATATTTGGAAAATGGATTCAGATTAAGTCATTTCATTTCATTTTCATTTACCCCAGTGCCACAAAGGCTCCCACCTGCGGTGGGGTAAGGGGGGGTCGGATGTACGCAGTCTTACACCTATACTAAAGCACAAAGAGACTGTTTCCGGATGACCCATAGTGAAAATCCCGTCCAAAATTGCATGGACTGACTGTTGCTTCATAACAAAGAAGCGCAGACAGTTTAGTGAGCCATTTTGCTTTATTCCATCATAATCTCAAGCCAAAAAATAATGAATCTTTGGCTCCATTGCAAATGATGGAAATGGATTCAGATTAAGTAAAATAATAAAATCTAGAGAAGCAATCCAATATCGAAAGCAACTCAGTTTGGTCTTCAGACCACCCAGGAAGACAACACATTGCCGAGTTATCAAAATCCTATAGAGGCTGTATAAAATGGGAAGTTTAAACATCAATGCCTCATCCAACTTGCAACTGCCTCCGGACCAGGACTATTACAAATATCTTAGGGATTTAAACCAAACAGGACTACAGGAGCTTTCCTGGTGAAGTAGTTTTGGCCCTTGAGGGACTTCCATGACCGTAATGAAGGAGATTTATCCCTACTTTGCTATAATGAATCTGGAGTATATTCATTTTGTATCACTTGGTTGAATGTAATTATTGGAATGATGGAATCATTAAGTTTGGTTCTCTCCTACCTTTATGAAGGCAACCTGTCTGTGTTTTCCTATGATGTATCCGTTTTAATCACGTTAATGAAAGAAATTATCAGCATCAATCGGTTGTGTGATGTGTTAACTAGAAATTGAACTGTAATCAACATAAACTAATCAGTAAAACATTAATATTTACTTCAAAAAAGATACTACTATTACCTTCAGTGTTATTCTGTTAGCTGACTTTGGTAATTTCCCACTGATACTATGGCCAAAAAGAGAACCTAAGTCCTCTTCGGCTGATAGGTTCTTCCGCAGACTGTGTTGCTTCTTATTTTTCTTTTTCAGAAATCTCTCTTCAGTCTCAAACTCGGCATGTGCTTCCCCTCTCACTTCATCCAGTTCTTCTCTAGTCAACAAGCTTGCTCCCCCTTCAATGCCCAAACATAAAAAGATAAATTCAAAAAAGCACCCACGCACATAGTTTAGGGAGAGGCATTCTTTAGTAAAGTACTTGTGATTCTCAGATAATTAACGGATTCTCTGGCTCTCTATTATGAACAAACATCTTTATTAAAATTTAACTGAAGTAAAGACACGTGACTTAAGACTAACATATGTACACAGTTATTCTGAATAGAGAACATATGCGTTAAGGGCGGCAGAAGGAATTGTTGAATTCAAAACAATACGAATATGTTAAAGTTGAATCTTTATGCTCATTACAGGATATATACCTCTGGGAAAGTCAGGGGCTTCGTCTTGCTCGAACTGGAGATGAGCTGATTTCTCAGAAAATTTGTCCTTGTCTGTTTTGTTTGTTTTCCCCTTGGGTTTGAATGTGCCTTTCGACTGCTCCTGAATATTTTTTAAGAGTGATTTCGAGGACTTCTTGTTGTGTGGTTTCTTTGAATGAGGCGCCATTTTCCCAGAAGAATGAACAGAGCAGGGGAGGGGCGATAGTGGAGGTTTTAGAAGGGGTTTGAAAGAAAGCCGGCTGCTGCTCCACTGTCGAATATCAAACCTTGCCAATGGTAGCCTTTTGTCTTGCCCGGATAAAAAAATGATGCTTAGGCCTAAGGCCCAAAAACTTTAAAAATAAATAGGGCCCAAGTTTTCAAATATATACACAAATACACACACAAATATTTTTTGGGAAATTCTATTGGCAGACCCGTTTTTATAATCCCAATTACGCCCTTAAAACTTAACGCCGCTCGTTACTTTAACTTCTGCTCGTTACTTTAATTTAAAGTTTCATTTTCCATCCTCTCGTATCCTGTATACCCAATTCCAGCTCGTTAATGTCTGAACTTTCCAATGAGGAACCAAAGAGCCAGAGCCCTTTCCAATTCTCCCACAAGCCAGTCGGAAGGGACGAAGCAATGAACAAGACAAGCTCTTCTTCGTCATCTCTCATCGTTGAGCCAGGATTTTACCTTTAGCGGAAACACATGGGAAGACCCTGCTTCATTCATTGTTTGGAGTTTAAAGGAAGCATCTTTGCAAGCTTTCAAGCGGGAGCCTCCAGAAAAAGAAAAAAGATTTCATTTATTATCTTCCAGTAAGCCTTCCGTTTCTGATCATAAAAGCTTCCAAATCCCGCTTTAGAATTTCTACAAGTTCTGGATTTCCTTGTGATGGAGTATTAACTAACAGATTCTAGAGAGAAGTGAGAGCTAGAGAGAGAAGTGCAATATATGCTTCAATAGAATGATTTTGTAACCCTGATAACTACCTCCATAGGAAGTATTTATAGGGAAAATACGGGCTGGGCTCCCAAGTCTCGGGCTTGGGAGGCCCATTTACAACTGGACCGCTATTGGGCCGAATACAAAGCCACTAATGGGTTGTACAAATGAGTAAGTGTAAAATCTGGTTCTGTGGGTCTCCCGTGGACGACGAGGGCTTCGGCCGATGAGGGCACGGCCGACGAGGGCACGGCCGACGAGGACACCCTGGTTCCTTGGCCTCAAGATCATATTCTGGATCGGCCCCTCTTCGGCCGACGAGGGTCTTCCGGCCGACGAGGGCACCGTGTAGTGACTGTGCTTTCCGTTCTGAGTATGTGGGTCCTGGGGCCTAGACCCATATACTCCATCACCTTGAATGGTTTTGATCTAGGAGTTCAATTTCAACTCCATTCGTATATTGGGATTTCTCAAAATTCTACTGATGGTTTTCAGATTCACATTTGTTGTTTCTGAATCATTTGAAGCTGAGGGGCTTAAGCTTATATAATCTGAATTGATTATGCTGGTGGGTTGAATCATACTCCCAGCTTCACTAATCCCAGGATTTTTTCCTATTTGGTGTCATGCTACTACTGATCTCCTCACTAGAGGAACATTTAGGTAGAAATGCTAATTAATCATTGATTAGTCTTTGATGTCATTGAATCTATAGCTTAGATAAGAAGGATTCATTCATTTTTTGGTTCATGAAACATGTTAGGTTTATAAACACCCGGAGACTAATAAGTGACATTTCTTTTATTAGGCAGTGAGTTTGGGTAATTCTTTTGTATCCTCGACACTTACAAAGCGACACACTCCTGAGATCTTGCCCACACTCCAAAAGCAACTCTTACCGCCACAAGAAGAGGACAAACAAAGGCTAAGCTCCGATGTTTTGCTTCCTCTTATACCTTCTTCCTGATCCTCAGTTGTTAAAAAGGTGACCCATGATGGGAAAGCCTCTATATTGTGGGATCCTTTGCAATTGCATATACATGTGACACCATTATTTCTGATACTAAGATTTTTGGAGGTAAGTTCTTACCCTTAAATGTTCTTATCATGAAAAAAATTACTAGTATACGACAGCGTTTGCATGAGTTACTTTGTGACTCAAAGTGTGTTACTTTTATTTTGTTGCGTAGTAAAATGAATGTATGAATTAGACAGATCCCGATATGCTTTTCATTGGTCTACTAACTGATTTGAAAGTTACGTATATACCCTATTTCACCTGATATTTACATATTGCTTGACATTTAGCTGATAAAATAATTAGGTAACATACACATGGAAGCTCAAGTAGTTTTTGTGAAATCCAACGTACTTAAAAAACTTAATGAATTAGTTCATGCTTATCAAATAAGTTTCTCCATCCAACTGTCCCTTATTTAAAAAATTGCTTAAAAAGCTAATGACTTCAAAGTAATAAAAAACTCCAACTGCTGCAATGAATGTGAGTGAGGCCTTTCTTCTCCCACTAGTTCAACATTGATCAAAAATGTGCTGAATCTGACAACTCCTACAATAACAAGTGCAATTTTTCTAATAAGTAAAAACACATGTCAAAAAGAAGCAAAGTATAGATCTGATAGGATTAAATAAAAACAAAACTAATACGTCAAATTTCGTAATGACCAATACAAGTAATTCAACAGAATATTGTGTGATGTACCTATATATTTTCTTCAATGTTAATAACTTCCTTAGTGCAATCACCCACATGGGCTGAAAGTATGGCATTAAATTCCTTAATACGATCTAAGTATGGGGTCTCCCACCCCATTGCGATGTCAAATCTAAAATGTTTCCAATTTGCAACAATGGGAGGTATTGACGCATAAGGATCCATTGAAACCTACAATACATATCATTGCCAATATATAATATTATTTAAATTAACACATTCAATATACAATGCCAAAATGTGCATAGCAAATAGTAGAATATAAAGTGGTAATAAGTAATGTAAGTACCTGAACAAAGTGATTGCCATTTACAAATCCCAACACTAATACCTTATGGTGTTGTTCTATGGGTGGATTAGATCGAAGAGGAAGAAATGTCACACACACCAGCTTAGAAAGGTAGATCAAGACCACATTATATTTAGAAGCAATCAAATGACTCATGGTGGGTAGAGTCATCCAATTCTTATATGGTGCTGGAGCTTTGAAATAAGACAATTCTTCAAGTAATTCAGCAACATTTTCAGCGGACTCGTACAACTTTACATAAAAAGGTCGATAATTGCACAACTCTTCAATCAACTCTTCACGAACTGTTGCCCACTTGTCTTCTCCAAACCCGAGTAGAGAAGAAATAGCACGAAAACCGCAATGTCCATCCGGCTTGACATCAATTATGTCAAAGATATATGGGTGTAAGTATGATGGAAAAGGTCCAAATACTTTAGAAAACTTTTGGATTTTTTCCTGGCTATTTTCTTCTTCACTTTTCGAACTGGAACAGTTTTTTGACTTAAATCACAGTCACGCTTAGCAACTTCCGAGTCAACAATTTCAAAATATGAAGGGTCACGCCGAGTTGATGAAGTCGCCTTCAAAATAGGACGACCTTTTGTCTTAGCTTTTTGAGGTGGTGGTATTAGAAATGTCGTTGCTGGATCACCTAATTCTCTTAGCTTCCTCTTCAATGTCAGCTTTCCAGCTTGATCAGACATATGAAATCGTGTCCATATGCAACTCATCTCAATATCAATACTCATTTCAAATGAGGCTTCACCTTCTTGATGTTTTTGCAAGTTTAATTTCATCCAATGAGGATTAATATCTAATATTGGAATAGGTTGAGCACATCTGACATATTCCGCAATTTCATGTGCACAAGGCAAGCCATGTGTGCTTCTCATGACACACCCACATAAACTGGCGTCGACACCAACCGTAGTTGCTCTTTCAGACTCAATCAGAATTAAGTTCAATGCTTTTCGTGATACTAATCCGTGCAAGTCTTTAAACAATGCAGGTCTGAAATTGTGTTCAACCACATTTAGACTTTGCTCAAATGAAGCCCTAATTTCAGTGTGTTGCAACTCAATTAGAGCGTTGATTATCGTCCAAGAACAATCAAAATCTGACTGACTGGAGCCAAGCCATTTCTTCAACTTTGCATGTGCACTCTCAGCTCTGCAAAAGTTAAAGAAAAATTCAAATTTTCTTTGAAACTTAGTAAATTCATAAATACTGAAAAATAGATTAAATTTGAACATCATACCTATTTGTTGTCAAATTGCCAAAATGCATGATTTTATTGGTCCAGGTCGCTATAAATCTCTCTTTATATGGATTCAACCATGTATCTCTTACATATTGAATGAGACTAAGATGCGTCTGGTAGTCACTTTCAATAGAATCTAAGTTTTTAGCGTACTCCTTTTCACTTGAAGAAAATATCAAGACACTCCAAGCTGCCATGAAATCGTCACACTCATCTTTGCATTTAAACAACTTTTTAGATTTGGCTAGAACATTTTTTGTGATATGAAATATGCAGAGAAGATTTTTTGTTTCGGGAATACTGTCTTAATAGATTTCAGCAATGTTAAGTCTCTGTCGGTGACAATTACATTAGGCACAATATTTGACAGCATCAATGTTTTTAGCTTCTCCATTGCCCATGTGTAGTTTTCTTCACGCTCAGCCTCCATGTACACGAATGCTATAGAAAATGTAAGATCTTTACATGTCACACCAACTATCTCTAGTAATGGAAAGCCATATCGATTGGTTTTGTAGGTACAGTCCATAAGCCACACCAACGGAAAGGCATGTAAAATATCAATAGAAGCAGGATGTGCCCAAAACAAGTCAGTCAAACAAACAGTTGACTCATTCCTCCTATGTCATTCCACATACTTATAATCAATTAATCTTTTCATAAGCTATTGCATTTGTGATCTTCCAGCTCTCTCAATCCTTCTATGTTTTTGACGAACATTATATATTGTCTTCATCGTAGTAGTATTTTTCTCGTTCTTCTCTTTTATTGTCATTAGTATGTTTCTCGGTTTTACCATATTCTTCGTCATATCTAACAGTATAGTCTCTTCATCTTTACTTAATCTTCCAGTAAAAGAGTGGCCTTCAAGTTGTGCAGCAGGAGGATGGTTATGAAGGTCGCAGATAACTTTTATAGACCAATCGTCATCTTTTTCTAATTTTACGCCTTGCAACAAAAATGGACAACCATTTTTTTTGTTCCTATCCTCTTACGAGATAATGCTTCTTTGCTTTTTGCTTTCTTAGGATTC